TGTGGTATATTCCCCACGTCCCACTGAAATACGTCTGCATTGTGCTGCCACTAACTAGTCAGGCACCTCCGCTGGACGCTTGGCGCCATGGAAAGCACCGTACCTGGGTGTGTTTGCGATGGAAGTTTCGCGCATCTGTTTGCATGAAATTTGAACTTGGCGCAGAACCCATGGACATGGACGCACGCCTGGGTGGATTGTACCACCAAGCGGACCGCTACTTGTCTGAGTGCTGTTCGTTGTCGCCCACGCCGGGCGTTCGTAGCCGGCCGTGGTATTCTACTCGTCCAGAGCCGACCGACTCGACCATGAGAAAGGAGGGCTGACAGGCAAAACAGTAACATGTAACAAAACCGAGCAAGATCTGTTTGGGTGAAAAAAGGGCTTTGGAGATCTGATTGGCTGAGGACTTTTTCTTGGGCTGGTACTATTAGTAGTACTAATAAAAGTCCATGTGCAGTGCGGTAAGTGCGGGCTTTTGGCCACACGGCTTCAGACTGTAAGTACTACAGATTGAATTGTGACATGGACCAAGCGCGAGTGATTCCGACGTCAAAGGTGCGGGGAGAGGAAAACGTGGCTTCAGCGCTTCAAGGAGGTCGATCCTCAAGCGTCTGGTATTCTGTCGGAGGTTGTAGAATTGGCGAATCGACATACCCCTCTCTTGGGCATCAAGTGCTTGCTTCACCACGCATTGACGTCGCGCATGGCAGACGCCCTTTGGTTTGTCGATGTGTGAGACTAGTGAAAAATAAAATGCCTGCAGGGCGGATCGAACCAGGGACCAATTGCTTCCATCGGGTTTTTGGCGTTACGGCAGAAAACAGTGTGGACAACTCGAACTGCACTTCAAGTGGACAATTGGGGATGGAGTGGCATGTGTGGCAGTTGGCAGACTCCATGTACCCTACGGGCGGGTTCGCGCATTCACAGGTACGTAGTCCCTGCTCAAATCCCTGAGCGGTCCTGGACTCCTTCCCAGGGCCTCGAGGCGGCCGTTCAAGCCAAGGTCGTCACAAACAGAGCCACTCTTCACTCATTTCTTGTGACATCTTTGCATCAAACGGCCAACTTGTTGCTGCCTCTCGTGTTTTCAGCCCACTCTTCTGCATCGTCCGTCGATTCCTTTCTCCACCTCGACAGTCTTGCACATGCCATGCTCACCAACCACGTTGCTGCACGTGCGTCAATTGCTCAGGGCTGTGCGATGCTCCGTGTTGCATGCACGTCTGCTCCGCCTTCATCCGTTCTCCACCGCATCAAGCGCGAGAAAGTCCATGGCCATCACGTCGTCGTACTGGGCGTTGTGTGCGCATCTCTCGATATCGACGCAACAACGACTCAGCGCCTGCTCTTGTTCGTGACTCTGCGGGACCTCCTAAGCGCCGCCACTCGGCTTAACGTGATCGGCCCTCTCGAGTCTGCGAAAATGCTCGCGCAAATGGCGCCGCTAGCCGAATCCATTCTCAATGCCAAGAAGGATCGGCCCCTCGCCGATGCACACCAATCGTCGCCGTTTCTGGACCTCGTCCACGCAACCCACGACGTCCTGTACACCCGCATATTTAACTCGTAAAAGGTGCTCCAGTTATTGGAATCGAATGAACCAAACCACAGAGGGGCTTGGCCCGTTGTCAAACAATTCGGTCGGCGTTTATGCAGACACAGGGAGACACTGCGCGGGTCGTGGCGACTACTTTGCTTAAGCACTCATGCTGCCGCACGAACATCCGTCGATTGCCACTGCTATCGCACCCGCGTCACTGGTTCAGGTCTCTTCTCCACGTAAATTCGAGCCTCTGGACCTTGCTGTCTGGCGTGTGGAATCCTGCCCCACTCGAACAATCGCCAACAGCGCGCCTCCTGGTTTTATGCCTATTGTAGTAGAAAAATGATTATATTGTGACTCTGTCCGGTTTTAATTGTCGCAATTCTACCGAATTGGTCCTAAAATTCGTAAATTAATGGTGCTGTGTTGGGATTGGCAAAAACGGCAAGAAAACACATTTTCAAATGAATGGCGGTGGAACGACAGTTGTAGGAGTCATTTCAAAGAAGAAATCACAATGTGAAATTTCCCGCGCACAACACTTGGTCTTACTATACTGAATGAAGTTTCGCTGCCTCCTTGAGAACGAGAAGATAGCCATCTATGCTGTCCTGTTGCACCACAGAACGAATGGAAATCTCGTTGTGGCGACATAAAGCATCAAGCAAGCCTCTATAATGTAACTAAGCGAACAATTCAGCGCGTATGGACAAGAGGGCAAGCAAAATAATCGTTCAAATCTCAACCTACGCGTCAGCGCAAGCAAGACGACATAAACTCTCTACAAGATCGTGTATCAAAACTTCCCCCAACAAATGCGTCGGATCTCGCGGCTGGTGAGGATACAACGTCTTGCTGGGATTTTCTTGCGGCTTGGTTGGTCGCAATTCTGTAGAAACGTTCGCACAAGCTTGTCGCTTCGGTCGATTGCTTTAGCAATCCGCCGACAGCTCTTTTGAAGCTTGCGAAAGGCAAAAATTTGTCGTTTCTCTTCGTCGGTGATACCTTTGCCCCGAGGCATGTCTTCGAATTCAATTTTGGTACTGACAAGGCCAAGGTGTCGTTCTCTACGTTCAACAGTCGAAAAACGCTTCTATAGGACAAAAGTGGACATTTTTGCTCCAATTATGAAGTGCGTCTATAATTTCGTTTGACAGTCAACGAAGCCGTCGAGGGACCAGATATTAGGGTTAATTGAAATTATTGCATGTCAAAGGTTTCAAAACGCCATAAACATTTTTACTGTTACCATGCAAACATTTCGTTATGACAGTTATTCCACATCACTGTCACTCACTCCTGACGACGACTCCGACGACATGGAGTCAACTTCCTCGACTTCATCCATGGTAACGAGCACATCATGCAGATTCTTCACAAGCTTGTCGCAATGCTGAACACACTTCCAAATCAAAGGAGATGGAAGCTCCGCGAAGGCCACGTCGAGGCGAGCACGGACATCTGCGAACGTCGTGTCCACGGTATACTTCATTCCCACGTCACCCTTGACTTTTGACCACACCATCTCGATAGGTTGCAGATTCGAGTGGTGAGGCGGCGTGTACACCACAGCATGCCGACGTGCACGGGCCATTGCAACAACCACCGGGTCCACGCGGGCAGCAACGACAGGTTTGAGCCTTGACCATATTGTCTTCTTCAAATCACGTGACTCAACATC